TTTGGAAGCCGTCCATCATAGCATTCTTTCCGTCACGCTTGAGAAAGCAAAACTAAATGCAAATACAACATCCTACTTATATATTTAGCATACATGTATTACATTTTTACTACAAAGCCATCTGTCTTCTCTTAAGCGAGCTGAAGCCAACCCACTTTCCTAAAATCAGCTTTTTAAGAAAGAATGGTCAAGCGAACAACAGGAGATTAGTCAGGACTGGGAGGTATTTACCTCCCAATTCAGATGTTGTTCAGGCTGTTGTTTGTTCTGCATGTAAGTGTATCACTTTGACAAACGTTTTTTGAAGAGCTATGACTCCAGGGCAGCAGCAGACTTCTGAGAAGGATTCTTCAGGGATACCAGGAACAAGGACAGCTCTGTAGCTGAGAAGGGTGAGCTGGAGGTCTTAAACATTAGAACAAGTGAACAGGAAGCTTAAAAGGGCCAGGTTGCATCTGAAGGGTGGGAAATAAAAACCTTAATTTTCCTTGGCAAAGCTGAAAACTGAGGAGAGGCACGTCTCAAGTCTGCATTCTAGGCTGGAGTCAAATCCCAGGTTTGTTCCGAGTTTACTTCATCCTGTGGTTTACCATTGTCCTGGTTTCGTCTGGGATAGAGTTAATTTTCTTCATAGTAGCTAGCATAGTGCTGTGTTTTGGATTTAGTACCAGAAGAATGTTGATAACACACTGATTTTAGTTGTTGCCAAGTAGTGCTCAGACTACTCAAGGACTTTTTGAGCTTCTCCTGCTCGGCCAGGTGCATAACAAGCTGGGAGTACAGCACAGCTAGTTCTGTTATCATTCTCATTATTACTATTATTATTATTTTTTCTTATTAAACTGTCTTTATCTCAGCCCTCGGCTCTAACCTTTTATTTTCTTTCCGATTCTCTCCCCCATCCCACTGAGGGGGGGAGGGGGAGTGAGCGAACGGCTGCGTAGTGCTGAGTTGCCAGCCGGGTTAAACCACGACGACCATCTTCTTGTTTAACTTGCTGGAGAATTCAGATACTTTCCTCCAGTTTGCGGCGGGGGGGGACGGTGTTTGCATTTCCCTTTATCTCAAGTAGATAGCAAAATTCTGTCAGCGATTTACAGCTGGTTGGATTTTTAGGTGAAATGAGAGACTTCCCAGTGGTGACAAGAAACTGCTTTTCCCTTGTTAGGAGAGTGTTTGGAAACAGTCAGCAGACTTCAAGAAATGCATAAATTAAATCAAGTCTCAAATGAATGTGTATGTCATTTCAGACATGCTTCTGTCTAGGCAGAGTGCAGTAAAAGTTCAGAGGTTTCACCGAAAGTCATACCATTACAAAAAATGAGCCTATTTTACTTTCAACACAAACAGCTTGTTTGAATGTACAGGGCAAGTGTGGCAGGGAGCAAGAGGAAAGATGATAGAGGTGACAGAAAGCACCTGATCCCCAAAGTGTCTTTGGTTAAGGGTTTGGGAGGTGTCTCTCTCATCTGTTTTGTAAGAAGGGTTTATTTTGGTATGCTCATCCTTTTTGGCTGCCTTTCTACCTCTCATTACCCACCGGGACTTGACGGACATGATGCTCCAAGTGAAGTGCTTTGTTTGTCTGCCCAAGACAGGAGCTGTAGTGGTTTCTGACAGTCAGGTTCTAAAATGCCCGTACAGAAGTTCTCAATAATTATTACTAGGGAAAAAAACCCCTCTTTTCCCCATGATCTATGGGGACCCTTTTCTGGTATCCCTCCCCTGTACAGCTGTGTACATCTGCTCCTCAGTGCCCGTCACCCATCAGCTGTGCCCCACACACAGACCCCATCTCTGGGGTTTAGGGTAGAAGTTTCTATTCCAACAGAGCTTTGCTCTCAGGAGGGTTGGTTGTTAACTCCGTTGCCTTCCCCTGCAATGCTGGTTTGTATGGCCATCTCAGTAGTTAAGAGTATTTTTCACAGATTTGTGTAGCTTGTATTTCGTTACATGAGGAGAACGATGAAGGAACAATTTAATGGATGTTTTTCATTTGGAACAGTGAAACTAGCAAGCAATGGGTATGGTGAGGGATGTTCTCAGTATTTCTACAAAGCTCAATCTCCAGTAACTGTGTTTTCATGCTAAACAGTGACACAGAATAAAAAGTAATGTTTGTATATTTTAGTCCTTTCTGAGAGTGCATTATTATTAATGTTCTTGTGTTAATATTACATTTGTAATGCATTAATGAATAATACAATATTAATGTTTTTATGTTGTGTTTTCTGTAGTTAAAGGGACATGCAGCAGCTGGCATGCTTTGGTTTTTGTTTGTGGTGGGGTTTTTGGGGTTTTTTTGTTTTGTTTTGTTTTTTGTTTTTTTACTTTTGCCGCTCTCTTTTGGCTTCAAGTGGCTTCCGCTCAAAAAACCTCTTGCCCTTACTCCCCCTTCATCAAGCTCTGCACAGGGGAAGCCCTGTGAGCTACCCACCTTGTAAGGCATCAACTGTCAGTTGGAACATTTTGTTCTGCTAATGACACCCCTCAGCGAAAGGCCATCTCTCCTGTTCACGGGAAAGATCAAACCGGACTGAAATGCTAGAATGTCAGCCGAGAGGCAATCAGAAAAAGCAATGCCTCCAAGACAACACATGAAACGTCATTTCTAGGCCTTTTATGGGATGTCACCATAAATCAAAGTCTATGGACAGGCAATAAACCAGCAAAAGCAGCCTTGTTCCAAAGGTACTCAACTACAGTGGTGTGAAGCTTCTACAGAGGCTGGGATTGAAGTTCTTCTGCCTTTAGGCTGGTGACCTGCACATAGCTGGAACTGAGCAGTTCATCTTGGCACCTTGCCTACGCGTGAATCCTACCCAAAACCCAGGTGTTTCTTTCTCTCTTAAGAGCTTAACGGGCTAGGCAATTCCAGAGCTTGACTAACACAGTAACTGTCTGCTATAAACTGTAGCTGTCACTGAAGGAGGGGAGGCAACCGGCCAGTATTCCCCTCCCCCGGGAGTGCCACAGGCTGTGATCTGTACGGTGCACACTTAACCTCTTTAACTGAAGGGATGCTACTACAGAGCAAAGAAAAGATTAAATGTGCTACAGAGACCGCCAAAAAGCCCTCCGACTCTACAGCCTCATGGCCGTGGCATCTACCTGCAAGGACGCTCCCAGAACCGATCAGAGATTCAGCCCTGGAACACAGCCTGCCACAAACACCGGCGCGTTTGTAGGAGACGGCACTTCGGTGCGGTGCTCTGGCTCTCACGGCTGGGG